TTTTTTTTTCTTTTCAGTCGTCATCCTAATTGGCCTGGGAATAATTCTTTCTTAATCTCAGAAATGAAGTGGCCCTTTCCAAATATGATACAAAAACAAGACAAAACAAAAAGAGAAGTCAGGAAATAATATACTGATGAATTGGACCACTCAAAAATAAAAAATTTTTAAATTCCAACATGGCCGAAATCACCGTAAGAAAAATCAGCCTAAAGATGAACTAGAAAATAAGTGCAAATTTCAGGCAAAGAGTTAATTCCCCTGATATAGAAAAAAAAGCCCCTTCAACTAATTAAGAAAATAATTAACAACCAATGAAAAAGTGGACGAAGGAGATAATTAAAAATTATCAGAATAAGAAAATGCAGATAGATCTTAAATATATGAAAAGACTGTATGAGTCTTAGATTATCATCTTCAAGATGGACTGATGGTATCTCCTGGATTGGGCTAAAGATTCAATAGTAAGTACTCAATAAATACATTTCATATATTTTAATTAATAATCCAATCTAAAAGGAGAGCAAAAAAAAGTCCACTTAGGACTGAGACATAAGGGAAAGTAGTTTTTAACTCTGAATTCAGCTAAGAAATTTAATTTCTTTAGACCCAAGATCTAACAGACAACCAACCAGCCTAAGGTATGAAAATATAAGCCAAGTATTGAATTAGATTAAGTCAAGTTAGTCTCAGTATAGTAGTCATTTATGAAGAGACACTTCAAAAAGAATACAGGGGAGTTTTTCAACCAAACATCTATGTTTGAGGAGAAATCATGAAACTTTTTGGGTACTCGTAATAGAAAATTGTCAAAGGCAGTACTATAAAAATCTCTTTCAATGCCCTCATCAAAGGTTGAAGTCACCAATCACATTATTTATATACCTGAAGATTTCTAAAAGTCTTCATTCACTCTGAAAAATGTGGCTTTAGTGAGTCTATTTGTGTGTAACTCTAAGATGCCTCATTAAATTTGAGAACGATTCTTCCTTGAGCAATACTCCTTGACAAGGAAAATCTATTTAAAGTTCATGAACATTTGAAATGGGAGGTATTTAGTTGTCATGTTTCATACCAGGAGACTGAATGATCAAGAGAATTTATGTAGCAGCCCTTCGAATCTTACCCCTCAAGCTGTCGGCGAGGAAGAAATTTCCCTCTATCCTTCTACGTTCTTTTGACAGATGCAAGAATGAAATTGACATGAGACGTTAACAACGGAAAATCAAAGAGAAGTTTAGTAACATGTATACATGGGACAGAGCAGGAAGACGAGCTCTCCAAAATGAACTAAAACCTTCACCTACATGTCATCTTCAGCTAAAGACAAAAGAGGATGTTGGGGGTAATGTTTGGGGACTTCAAAGGGGAGGGAGGCAATTCACACAGAGATAAAATGTTTCCTAAACAAATGTTTGCTGGGCCAGGCAGGGCTAATCGGGTGCAGAGTGGACTCTGATCTTCGAGTCCTGCCAAGTTTCTCTCACCACGCCTAGCCCATGCTCTTTCCAGATAGCTCTGGTAGTAAGTCTATTCTGGAAACTGGCACTTTATCTAAATTCTTTTATGCAGTTAAGGGGGAGGTGACTAGAAAAATGTCCTGAGTCTTCTTTTTTAAAACAGCCTAAATTAATCCTCATGCCAAAGAGACACATTTTGGGGAGGCGGATTTTCCTTCCATATAGAAACATTATTTAATGAGTAATTAATATTCATCTAAAGGTATGCAGAAAACTAAAGTTAATGAACTCAAAAAATTCTTTTCTACAGTGGATATTAACTTTGTCCCAACTTCTATTAATAAATGTAATTTACTCCCTATTATATATTGAACGTCTTCCGGGTACCAAATGCAGTTCTTGGTGTTTTGAGATAG